GTAGCAAAATTGCAGTTATGAAGTAGCAACAAAAATAATAATTTTATGGTTGTGAGTCACCACAACATGAGGAATTGTATTAAAAGGTCGCAGCATTAGGAAGGTTGAGAACCACCGGTCTAAACTATTCTGAAGTCTGAAAGTCATCAATCTTATGAATCTGTATTTATTGTAGCAGGAAAACAAGAAAACTACCTCATGTGATAATACAGCAGAATAATATACAAGACAACATGATAGCAGGATGAAGGACACAACAAAGTGGCTATAGAAAATGGACGGGGGGGGGCGCTCTCTGAAGAGATAGATAACTTTAAGGATTCAAATAAGTCAGCTATTACAAAAGCATGCAAGATTTTAACCATTCGTTTCTTTAATTGTATGCAAAAAGCACTTTAGGATTTTTTGTTCTTTTTGTTTGTTTGTTTTTGAGATAGGGTTTCTATGTGTAGTTTTGGTATCTTGGAACTTATTCTGTAGACCGGTCCGGTCTTGAATTCACAGAGGTCCACCTGTGTCTGCCTCCCAAATGCTGGGATTAAAGGCATGTTTCACTATGTCTACCTCAAAATTAAAGTCCGTAGACCAGGTCAGATGTAGCAGTGAATGCCTCCCCACACCTACCGGGTTTCTCTGTGAAGCCCTGACTGTCCTGGAATGTGCTCTGTAGACTAGGCTGGCCTCAAACTTAGAGATTGGCTGCCTTTGCTGAGTGTTAGGATTAGAAGTGTGCATCACTACTGCCCAGCATAAAGTACTTTCTATATGAAGAGAAATGATTCTTCTCTAAAGGAATTTACAGTCATATTAGGCTACAATTAAGTATTATAAGAAGCAAATCACCGGGCAGTGGTGGTGTACGCCTTTAATCCCAGCACTAGGGAGGCAGAGGCAGGCGATCTCTGTGAGTTCGAGGCCAGCGTGGGTTACAAGAGCTAGTTCCAGGACAGGCTCCAAAGCTACAGAAAGACCCTGTCTCAAAAAACAAAACAAAAACAAACAAAAGGCAAGCAAATCTTAAATAAGACTTAAGAAAGAAACTACACGTATCCCAGTTGGACCTTGAAGGATAAATTTTGGATATAAGAAAGGGAAAGTGGAAATAAAAAGATTAGAGAAATCTAATAAATAAATTAAGCATAAAGGGGAAAAGTAGTATATTAACATTTGGGTCAAATATAAAAGAAAGAACAGGAGTTAAAGTTAGAAGAAAAGTATTGGAGGCAAGCTTTAACTTCAAAAGGAATAAGAAAACACTGAAGACTGGTATATGGAAAATAGGAGTTAGGATGCTCAAGTATGTCTAGAATGTCTACAGATTTAGAGAAAACGGACCAAACAACTCAAACCACCTGTTTGAGAGAACAGTAATGTCCAGAGATAAGAAGATTGGCAAGAACTAGTGTTAGAGAAACCAAGAAAACAATATAGGGCTGGTGAGATGGCTCAGTAGTCAAGAGCACTTACTGATCTTCTAGAGGACCCAGGTGCAGTTCCCAGCACACACATCAGGTAGCTCACAATTTCTAAAACCTCAGTTACTGCATGAACATGATGCACATAAACTCGTACATAAAAACAAACACAAATTGGGTATAAAAAAGAACCCAATACAGAATACAATGAACAATGCTGCAGAGAGAACTTGGAAAGAATCAGTTGAGGACACTGCTACTCTTGCAGAAAACGAGGTTTGGCTCTCTAGTAACTCTAGTTCCAGGGCATCTTTTGGTATCCTGCACACATGCACTGCATAAAAATTCATCACTCGGGCTGGAGAGATGGCTCAGTGGTTAAGAGCACTAACTCTTCTTCTAGAGGTCCTGAGTTCAATTCCCAGCAACCACATGGTGGCTCACAACCATCTGTAATGAGATCTTGTGCCCTCTTCTGGGGTGCAGGTACACATGCAGGCAGAATACTGTATATGTAATAAATAAATAATCTTTAAAAAAAAAAGTTCATCACTCATGTAGGCACAAATATATATGCTGAAACAGTAAGTAAATAAATCTTTAAAAAACTCAGAAAAAAATACACATAAGGATAAATAAACAAATCTTTTAAAAATAATACAACTTCAAGCCAGGCATGGTGGCCCATGTCTTATAATCTCAGAATTTTAGAGACACTGAGATAGAAGGAATGCAGTGACTACAGAGGCCAGCCTGGCCCACAGAGTGAGACACTGTCTCGAAAAAGAAACCAAACCAAATAAAAGTCAAATGAACGAAAAATTCAAGTTTTGGCAGCAAATATCAGACTACAGAGATGGTCAGAAGAGTCGAAACTGAAGTGAGTCAAGATACGCACAAAGGGACACAAGCCTGATGGTGACACATTAACAGCATCAGGGCAGACATAAACACAGTTGAGCCAGGCATGGGCTCACATCTTAAATCAGAGTACTCAAGAGGCTGAGGCAGGCGAGTTCCAGGGCAGCCTGTCTCAAAACAAAAAACCCAGAAGGATTTGGAGGGAACAGTGCATGCTGTGATAGGGACTGAAGAGTAGCAAATGTTTAAAAATTTTCAGTAATGGAGAGAGGCTGGGTCCACAAACAAGTATGAGAAGGCTTGAGAAGTAAACAATTTTAGTAATCTGGCAGGATTGGTTGTTAAAGGCTTTAGGTAATTCAGATATGTAAGCAAAGGTGAAGGTAAAAGGCTTCACTAAAAGAATACCATTACACTTCAGGTAAGATAGCGTGGCGTGTGTGTATGTGTGTGTGCAGTTATATTTTGTTTGTGTTCTAACAAAGCTTGCCTGAATGAAGATCAGAGTAGCTAAGCCACTAGAGGCCAGGCAGTGTGGCATACACCTTTAGTCCTAGGACTTGGGAGAAAGAGACAAGATAGATCTCTTGTTAGTTCAAGACCACCTTGGGCCACCTGAAACTGATCCAGTCTCAAAGAGAAACAGCCAGGTGATGTTGGCCCACAGCTTTAATCCCAACATGAAGGAGATGGAGATAGGAAGGGACATGGCTGGGGGGGGGGGGGAATACAAGAGCTCAGTGCAGTCTGAGCACTGGGAGAGGTAAAAGAACTCTGTAGTGGCTGGCCTCTCTGCTTCTCTGATCTTCAGTATTAATCCCTATATCTGACTCTGGGGAATTAATGTTTTTGCTTTTACTTGTGTGAAGCAGTATAAATTACCTTGCTTTTGAAAAGTCACAGGATTAAAATGATTTTAAAACGCCGCTTACAGACTAGAGCGATGGCTCAGCACTTAATGAGACTTGGCTCCTCTTTCAGAGGACCCAGATTCGAATCCCTGCACCCACAAGGTGGCTCACAACCACCTCTAACTCTAGTACTAGTCAGAGGATGCTATGTTCTCTTCTGGTTTCCTCAGCACCAGACAAACACACAGGACACAGACATACACATCTTTTTTTTTTAAATGCTGCTTAAAAATACTATTTGAAAAGCCAGACAGTGGTGGTGCACGCCTTTAATCCCAGCACTCAGGAGGCATAGGCAGGCGGATTCTGTGAGTTGGAGGCCAGCCTGGTCTACAAAGGGAGTTCCAGGACGGCCAGGGTTGTCACACAGAGAAATCCTGTCACAAACCACCACCATAATAGCAAAACACAACTTAAAAAAAAAAAAAAAGGCGGTTTAAGGAATCATACAAAGGTAAGAATTCAGGATGGGAGGAGAATTCAGGGGGAAAATTTAAAGTGGAGGCTCAGAAGGGCATTTGTTGCTATTGTAGATGATGAGTTTGGTTCCCAGCACCCACACTGTGGCTCACAACAGTCCATAACTCCAATTCCAGAGGATTTAGTGAAGATGAAATTGTGGTCAGGTGGTGGCAGCACACACTTTTAATCCCAGCACTCAGGAGGTAGAGGCACGCGGATCTCTGTGAGTTCGAGGCCAGCCTGGTTTACAAGGGCTAGTTCCAGGACAGGCTTCAAAGCTACGGAGAAACCCTGTCTAGAAAACAAAACAAAACAAAAAAAGATGAGGTTGCATCCTCTTGGTTTGTACAGTACTGACCTATTTTCAGTAAAAGCAAAACTGTCCAACAGAAAAAAATGTAAGTTTGAAGGGCTTTAGCCTTTCTAGAAAAGTCAGCTATTACGTCCGACACCTGTCTCTACTACTCTTTAATCTGAAAGAACTAACGACCCTCATAGAAAGAGCAGACCGCAAGTGGCTCCACAACAGAAAGCCTGTGCTGAGCGCCAATTAAATTCAACTGCTGCTGTCTTCACATTTTCGGGTCTTGGTGGGCCCTCCCAGGAGCAACTCTCGTCCATTCACCGTCAAAGAGAACTTGGAAACACTGCAGCGAAAGACAGGGCACGCGGGGGAAGTCGCCTGGGCCACTTCACAGTTGGCATGTCGGATGCTGCGCCCCTCGGAAGGAGTTCCACAGCTTGGGGGTCACCAGCCCAGGGCCAGAGGAGGCAGGTTAGGGATGGGCTCCGAGGCCGGGAAGGTAGACCACCCCGCCGGGGCCCGGGACTCACGGGGAGCCCACTCAAGAGAGGGTCCCACGCCAGGCTTCTCCCGGGGAGAGCTACTCACTGTCGATGTCCTCGATGAGGCTAGCGGTCCCGGGCATATAGTTCATTTTGAACTCAGGCAAAGCTGGGCGAGGGCGTCCAGTCGCCCGTCGGCGGGCCGCGGACGGGAACCCGCCGCTCACCAACAACTCAATTGCCGCTAGTCGCCGGAAGCGTTTTCAGGTTACCCCACCCACTTCCGGTAACGCGTGTCCGTTCACAGAAAGAGGCGTTCCGGGCGTGCGATCGCGGGCAGCGTTTCTTCCTCCCTGAGCAGTGATGTGGAGTCCAGGTCCGGCGGACGGAGGGCGGAGGACAGGCGTTTCCTCCCGCGTGACGAACGCGGCGCCTCTCTTCGCTTCCCTCCTCCGAGGCCCGGAGTGCGGGCTCCGCTCCATCTCCGACCGGCGCTCGGCGGGCAGGGGGCGGGACTGGCTCGGGATTGGCTGCCGCCGTCCGACCCCTTTCGCCGCCCGCCAGTCGCTGTCGCCCGCAGGCGCCTGCGCAATGGGCCGGCCGTGGGGGGCGGGAAGCGCTTCGCGGCAGCGGAGCCCATGTCGGCCCTGAGGCGCTCGGGCTACGGCCCCAGTGACGGCCCTTCGTACGGCCGCTACTATGGGCCCGGCGGAGGCGATGTCCCGGTGCACGTCCCTCCGCCTCTGTACCCTCCGCTTCGGCCCGAGCCACCCCAGCCTCCAGTTTCCTGGCGAGGGCGCGGGGGCGCCCCGGCCGAGACCACCTGGCCCGGAGAAGGCGCAGGTGGCGATGCCTACTACCCCTCGGGAGGCGCCTGGGCAGAGCCGAGTAGAGCCGGTGGTGGACACCAGGTAAGCTTCGCAGTGTTTCCCGGGGATCCGGTAGGGAAGTCTTGGGCGGAGGTGAGGACCATTGGGGGTTCTCTACTTAGGGTTTGCTACAACTCAGGTTTCTGATTTGTTCTTCTTCTGGGGAGACAGAGATCGGAGACGTTAAGTGAGGGGATACATGCTTGTGTTCCATTTGTCCCTTCGTTTTCACTTCGGCCATCGTTAAGTGTGCCTGTTACCACCAAAGAAACCAGAAAATTATTCGGCGATGACTTCCTAAGCTTGGTAGCAGGCTGCAGGATCTCTCTCCCGAGAGCGTAGGGTAGAGTGATCGGGCTGTAACAATTTATCCTGCGTGGCTAGGGAAGCTGCAGCTCCGGTCGTTACTCAGCAGCCCCTCCCGCGGGAAGGGATCTGAACGGGGCGGGGTGGGGTGGGGAGGGGGAGGCTGATCATTTAGTCCCTTATCACCAAATCTTTGCCTGGAATGGAAGCACGAATATTCAATGTTGCAAAGTACCTTTATGTTCTGTCTAATCACAGGACTGAAGGACAGATGCCTCCCTATTTTTGAATGAAGGCTCTGAGAAATTAACTTGCTTCATCTAGTTGGACCTGTAACATTTAATTATCTGTATACATGCCAAAAATGTATTCCTGTTTTCACCATGTACGGAGCTATCATTGGATGGTGGCACACATCTTTTGGCCTTCATAGCATCTTTAGTTGCTGAAAATGAATTATAAAATTCTCACACGTTAACGATGGGATTGCAGAATACTACAGTGCTTTGGGTAATAACTGGGTCGTTCCTAAAATTTGTGGCAGAGAATTAGCTTATGATCCAGCAGATCCACTTGTTAAGCATTCTCAAGAAATGGAAAACAATTGGCTCACGCCTTTATTCCTAGCACTCAGGAGGCAAAAGCAGGCTAGCCTGGTCTACATAGTTCCAGGACAGTCAGAGGTACATGGTGAGACTCTGTCTCAAACAAAGAACAATAACGACGACAAAAAAGAAATGGAAAACTTGTCCACATAAAAAATTTTTAGTATATCTTCATAAACATCATTAGTCATAATGGCTAAAAATTGGAAGTAATTTATATAGTTATCAGCTGATGGCTGGATTAACAAACGTGGCATATGTTTTAGAACATAATATCCAGAAAGTTTTGTTTCAACATGGATGAACCTTGACTAGATCATGGATGGTGAGTAAAGCGAGTCACAAGGGCTGGGTTTCATATTGTGTGACTCCATTTATGTGTCATGCCACAGCAACTGGTGGACTGCGGGGGCTGGGGACTGGAAGGAGGTGGTGCCGAAGTGATACAGTCTTCTGAAGTTAGTGATAATGGCTTCACAGTTCTGAGCACCCTAACAACCACCGAATTGTATATTTTAAAAGGCTGGGCTAATTATTTCTCTAAAAGTGAATTAAAAACACGAAGCATTAAGACGTTAACGTAAAGAAGAATCCCTACTTTCTGTACTGATTCAGTCAGTAGGCTGTTTGTTGGACTTTACTCCCATGGTCTAGTAAAGTACCCAGCCTTTTAAGTACCCAAACTAAAGATCAGTTGATGAGGCAAGGGAGTTGATCTTTAAACTGTCGACTGGCTTCTATTGAGTTTGCTGTATTATCAAACTAAAAGTCTGTTTTCTGGGGTTGAGATAGAAAGTTAGGGAAAGACTTGAAAAAGTAAAGTTTGATGTCATATAAGGAATTGTGAGGTTTGGTTGGTGTTAAGCTGTGCATGTGCTAGAGTATTCTGAGATAAGACTGGAAATGTGTAATGGGCATTTGTGAGTCATTTAAACTTTACTTCTCAGGGTAATGATCCTGAAACTTGAGAAGTTAAGGGTAGTAATTTCATTTCTTTTTCTCCTTCCTTCTTCCTTTCTTTCTTTCTTTGATAGGGTTTCTCTTTGTAGCTCTGGGTGCCTTATAACTCACTCTGTAGACCAGGTTGGCCTCGATCTCCAGAGATCCACCTGCCTCTGCCTCCAGAGTGCTGGGATTAAAGATGTGTGTCACCATGCCCAGCCCAAGGGTAGAATTTCTTATATAGCTATAAAAAAACAAATCAAAGATATGCATTTTTTTTCCAAATCCATTTTAACATTTACTAAATTTCACAATGTATCTGTGAAATTAAAAACAAGTACTGGGCTAGAGAGGTAACTCTGTGGCTAAGGTGCTTGTCTTGCAGTGTAAGGACAGGACTTTGGATCCCGAGGGCCCATGTCAGTGCTGAGTGGGTTATCTATAATTCCAGCTTTAGAAGGTTGAGTTGGGATCCCCAGACTAGCTAGCTGGCAAGACTAGCTAGCAATGTGGGAGAACTCTGTCTTTGATTGAGAGGCCATGCCTCATTGAGTGAGGTGGAAGAGCTATTGAGGGAATCAGTCTTGGGCCTCTATATGCATGTGCACCCTGCACATGAATGTCCTCACTTATGCAAATAGGCGTACGCACACACATGAAAGAAAGGAGAGGATATAGGAATTTTTTTTTCTCCCCCAACCCCAGTGCTGGAACTTGAGCCCAGGGCCTTGTGTATTATAGACATAATTCTACCTGTGACCTATCTATACCAGCAACTCTTCAGGAAACTACAAATCTACTCAGAAAGTATGATCTGTGGGCAGCAATTTTAATCTCTGCAAGACTGTTGAAATGCAGAATCTCTCCTCTTCCAGATCTTCAACTTCCTAAGATCCCTAGCTGGTTCACATGCACAGCAATAGGACTAAGTGCATTAAGGGCTACTCTGAACTCAAAAAAGACTTGACCTATTCATTTTCCCAAGAGAGGGTCTCTTGTATCTTAGGCTGGCCCCAAACTTACTGTCTGGCCAAGGATGATCTTGAATTTCTGAGCTTTCTGCCTCTACCTCTCAAATGCTGATATTTTAGGTGAGTTCCACCCTGCATGGTTTCTTTGTTTGTTTGTTTGTTTTCTTTTGTTTTTTATTTAACGAATTTAAATACAGCAGAGGGGAAATTGGAAATTACCACTTTCACCAGGTTTGTTTGTTTGGTTTTGGTTTTTTGAGACAGGGTTTCTCTATCTCTTGCTGTCTAGGAACTAGATTTGTAGACCAGGTTGGCCTTGAACTCAAAGATCTGCCTCCAGCTCTTGAGTGCTGGGATTGAAGACGTGCACCACCACTGTCAGGTTTCCACCAGTTTGTTTTTTTTTTAATTATTTATTTATTAAGGATTTCTGCCTTGTCCCCGCAACCGCTTCCCATTTCCCTCCCCCTCCCCCGATCAAGTCCCCCTCCCTCATCTGCTCTAAGAGCAATCAGGGTTCCCTGACCTGTGGGAAGCCCAAGGACTGCCCACCTCTATCCAGGTCTTGTAAGGTGAGCATCCAAACTGCCTAGGCTCCCACAAAGCCAGTACGTTCAGTAGGATCAAAAACCCTCTGCCTCCCAAGTGCTGGGATTAAAGGTGTGCGCCACCACTGGTAGGGGTGAGGTTTATGTGTATGTGTTGTAGTGGGTGGTGAAGAGTGCTGAGATTTATAACTGATTGATGTGCTGAGAAAACGTGACTGTGGAGTGCTCACCCTAAATGGGTCGTGCATTTTACCCCTTCCATGGCTCCGAGTACATTGTGGAAGTGGGCATGGAAAGACGGTGAGAGCAGAGGCAGAGAGGACTGTTAGGAAGTCTGATTTAGGTGTGACGTGACCATTGAACTAAGACCTGCATAAGATGGGGCTTCGCAGCACTCCATCCTAGATGGAAGAGAGACTCCTGAGGATTTACAGGCCATAAACAGGTGCTAGTAAGAGCCCTGACGAAGCACCACCCCTTCCAAAGCTGCTATTGACAGTCAACAGTTGCTTGGGGTAGGGATGGGGGTGGTCTTCAGTGGTGTGGCCACTGCTAAGTTATCCATGCTCATGTGAGCAACCCCAATGTATTTAGAGAGAGAGGAAGTCATCCTGGAGAGTGAGAGAGTGAGCCTACTGAAGAGTCTTTAATTGTTAGCAGTGCTGAGTGCCTACAGTTTCCTATAACATGAAAACAAGCAGATTGCTTGGCACGGGCCTGCAATCCCGTCTTTCCAGGTAGCTTAAGATGAAAGGATAGAAATTTTCAGACTAGCCTGACAACTCCATAGAACCCTGTCTCAGATTAAAAATAACAAATGGGGGAGCTGGAGAGATGGCTCAGTGGTTAAGAGCACTGCCTGCTCTTCCAAAGGTCCTGAGTTCAATTCCCAGCAACCACATGGTGGCTCACAACCATCTGTAATGAGGTCTGTTGCCCTCTTCTGGCCTGCAGGCATACACACAGAATACTGTATACATAATAAATAAATAAATAAATAAATAAATGTTTTTTTAAAAAAAAATAACAAATGGGGGGCTGGAGAGATGGCTCAGAGGTTAAGAGCATTGCCTGCTCTTCCAAAGGTCCTGAGTTCAATTCCCAGCAACCACATGGTGGTTCACAACCATCTGTAATGAGGTCTAGTGCCCTCTTCTGGTTTGCAGACATACACACAGACAGAATATTGTATACATAGTAAATAAATAAATATTAAAAAAGAAAGAAGAATCAGCTAGAAGGACAGACCTTAAGTGGAGCTCAGGAGTTCAGGCTTGGCATCACCATCTCTAGGGCAGTCAGTTTCAATCCTGTCCTCTTGTGTCTTTACTCATGATTTAAATTCATAGAAGAGAGTGTAGACCTACAATAACTCCAGGTTTAATCCAGCATAACCAACAAAGCACAAAAACTAACAGATTAAAAACCCTCCTCTTTAAAGGAAATAAAAATGGTTTGTTATAAGCAGAGTACACTATCTGTAAGTTCAAAGCAAAGAGACTTACTTGGTGAGTGATGTGCACGTCCTGGGCTAAAGTAGACAGTTAGTGTGTTGGAAGGTTTGAGCATTGGTCTGGAGGGTTCTTAGAAAAGTTTAGTGGCTTATTGTAACTTATTTGAAGACAGAGCCTGAAAAGATGATGACATCACAGATAGATGTACTCCTTCCAATGGTGATAGTTCTACATGAGTTGATGGCACTGAAGTTATAGGTCATAAGCAGAAATCTTGGCCATAGGAAAAAGTACTAGAATACAAAAAAAAAAAACCCAAAAACCCAAATCTATGTACTTGTAGTAAACTTGAGAAATAATAGTTTCGTGTTCCAATGTTGTTAAGTAAGTAAATAGGGACTCATAGCTTTATGTTGTACTGGTTAACCAGGCTAAGTATCTCAGATCTGAAATGTTTGGATTTCAGGTTTCAGATTTTTGAAAGATAATATGTATAAACATAATGAGTTATTTTGAAGGCAAGACCTAAATCTAAACACAAAATTCATTTATGTACAACTTTTTTTTTTTTACCACTATACTAACGAGGATATGTACAACTTTTAAACCTGGCTTTGAAGGTAACTACACAGCATTTTAATGCCCCTGCATTTTGTTGTTTGTTTTGCTGTGCCTTGAATGAGCTCGGTAAGTGCTCTGCCACTCAGCCAGTTCCCCTACCCATTACATGCATTTTGACTGCATCAGGACATGAGGTCAAAATATCCAAAATTCGAGCAGTTTGGGTTTCAGATTTTCAGATTGGGGATACTCAACATGTACTGGCAAGAGGTAGTAAAGGCAAACTACTGTATATAGTTTTCCTGGTCATCTTGACATAGATTCCTTTATTATCATTTCAGTGTGTGGTATATAATGCTTAAGACCAGTCTTTTACAGCTGTTCAATGGTTGTTCTGTTCTGGGGCATGTGATTTACTTTGTACTTTATCTTTTTAAGTTTAATAATGATTGTAGTGCCTTTATATCTCCTTTTTTTGTCTGTTTTTCTTTTTGGTTCCTATTATCTTGCCTCTTGGTAGAGGTATCTATTTTTGCTATCTAACCATTATTAAGAGTGAATTGGGCCAGGTGGTGGTGGTGCATGCTTCTAATCCCAGCATTCAGGAGGCAGAGGCAGGAGGATCTCTGTAAGTTCAAGGCCAACCTGGTCTACAGAATGAGTTCCAGGACAGCCAGAGCTGTTACACAGAGATACTGTCTCGAAAAACAAAAACAAACAAAACAACAAAAAAAGTGAATCGGACATGGTAATGCACACCTGTAATTCTAGCTGGGAAGGCAGAGGCAGGAGGATTGCAAGTTTGAGGCCAGCTGGAGAAGGCATCAATAACAGAAAGAATGCTTTTAAAATTAACTTGTTTTCCCTTTTTCCTTAGGAACAGTCACCATATCCTGGCTATAATTCTAACTACTGGAATTCTGTGCGACCGAGGGCCTCGTATCCAAGTGCATATCCAGTAAGACCAGAGTTACAAGGCCAGGTATGGTTGAAAATTGAGATTTTTCTGTCTTTTCTTCTTTTAAGACAGATTTATGTATCACAGGATGGCCTGAAATGGTATGTAGTTGAGGATAACCTTAGACTTCTTGATCCGAGTGGCTCCATCTCCTAAGAGCTAGGATAGGCCCTGCTACCACACCCAGTTTTATTCAGTGTTAGGGATCAAACTCAGGGCTTCATGAACACTAGGTAAGTACTCTGGCAAACTTCAATTTAAAAATTAGCGTGTATTAAGTATATATGATAATGGGTTTAATTATGACATTTTCCTTTTTTTTAATTTTACTAAATTTTTTTCATCGAATATATTTTGATCATATTCCTTTCTGTTGCCCAAATCTTCTCAGATCTCCCTACCTCCCTATGCATCCAACTTCTTATTCTTTCTCTCAAAAACAAAAAATAAGCAAACAGAAAACCAAAAGGAAAATAAAAACATACCAATAAGACAAAAACAAAACAAAATCCCAAAATGAAAGTACACACACCAAAAACCAGGACTGTGTTGGCCAGTACTCCTGGACATGGGACCTGCCCTGGAGTGTGGTTGATGAACCGGTGTCACTCCATTGAAGAAGACTGATTTTCCCCTTTCCCAGCAGGTACCAACTGCAGATAGCTTCCTGGTAAAGGATGGGAGTTTGTGTCCACCCACCCTTGTCTCTGTTAGGGTTTTGTCTGGTGTGAACTGCTCTGATTTTACCATACCTTGGTGATAGCTGAATATGCAGGTGACTCTTTAGCATCTCTGCAGCCAAGGATCCTGGAGGTAGAGGCTCTCACTTAGTAATTGGAACCACGTGTGGTAAAGTGGTGTAAGATCTCTGTAAAGTAGCTGGTATGGCAAAGCTCTGGTGGCTTAGCATCATGTATCCAAAGGCCTCCTTCCAGAGGAACGAACACCATTGATTTCAGAAACTCAGAAGAAGTTCAGTTACACAACATCTATGCTGAAGTGTCTGCATCTGCCTTATGAAATAACCTTTTGCCCAGGATAGCACCCAAACTTGACATCCCCCAATTTCTGACATTGAGATCAAGTCACACGACACATTTATGAGCACTATCTATGCAGGAAATACTTTATAAACAGTGAAGTATAATGACAAAATGAAGATGTTTTCTTTTCAGGAAGCTTTTTTTTTTTTAAGCTTTCTTATTGTGTTGGTTTTGTTTTGTTTTGTTTTGAGACAGGGTTTTTCTGTGTAGCCCTGGTTCTTTCCTAAAACTCACTCTGTAGACCAGGCTGGCCTTGAACTCAGAAATCTGCCTGTGTTGGGATTAAAGGCATGCACCACCACCATCTGACTTTCAGGAAACAATTTTTGAGGCTGCAGCAACAGGTGGAGGTATTGCCGGTTCAGAAAAGGCACCAACTTCTTTGCCAGCCTGAATATGAGAGTGTCTAGACTAGAAATTGAGAAGTGATAAACTAGAACTAACTGGTGCCAAAGTGGTGGCATCTGGGGTCAGAGTTTTAAGTTGTTAGATGATTGGCAAAGCAGCTGCATGGTGCGTTTGGTATGTCCCATGCTGCTGTTGATGCATGCAGGTTGGTCAGACAGGAATGGTAGCAGCAGAACTGTATCCTGCTGTCAGGATGGCTGGAGCCATCTAGTGTTATTTAGCTGGGATAAAGAACAACAGGTAACAAAGACCCAGAAGCCCCAATTTTCCAAATGGCAGATATGGAAAACTCACAAATTTATTTAAAATGGTTCCTGAGATGACGGAGATACTAAAGAAAAAATTAATCATGATCGTGCCTTAAGAAAACTGTACAGGTAGTGGTGGCTCATGCCTTTAATCCTAACACTCTGGATGCAGAGACAGGCAGATCTCTGTGAGTTAGTTCTAGGTCAACCTCCTGGTCTACAGAGCAAGTTCCAGGACAGCCAGGGCTGCACAGAGAAACCCTGTCTCAAAATAGGGGGGGATGCAGGACCAGAGATAAGGAGAGCCACAAGTTCAGCACCAACAGAGGCTTCACAGTGAATTCCAGGGTAAGACCCTTCTCGGACAGACAGACATAATAAGCAAAACTGAAAAATAAGGAAAGACGGCTTGTGCTGCCCTAATATAGGTATATTAAGAGAATCTATCTTCAACCTTTCCCTTGTCATCTATATACACCTGAAGCAGATATATATTACACTTACTTCATTTGGCTCTTTGCTCTTTGGCTTTTTGGGGGGCCTGCCACCCAGCTCCCAAATGAATCACACACAGAGACTTATTCGTAGTTATAAATACCCAGCCTTAGCTTGACTTTTTCTTCCTGGCTTTTATTATCTTAAATTATCCTGACTACCTTTCGCCTCTGGTCTTTTTTCTTTCCCTGCATCTGTGTATCTACTTTCACTCTCACTCCATGGCTGGGTGACCTCTCCTCCTCCTCCCTTTCCCAGAGTTCTCCTCCTGTTTATTCTCTCTGCCTGCCAGCCCCACCTATCTTTTCTCCCGACTCACTATTGGCCATTGAACTCTTTATTTAGATTATCAGGTGTTTAGACGGGCAAAGAATCACAGCTCCACAAAGTTAAGCAAATGCAGCAAGAATAAAAGCAGCATACCTTTACACAGCTGAACAGATGTTCCAGAGCATAGACATATGTGACACCTTAAAATAGTATTCTACAACATTTAAATGTTTTATTCCAGTTTTCAGTATTCTGTGTGGGTGGAGTGTGCCATAGTGCACTTGTGGAAGTCAGAAGACTCAGGAACTCTTTTCACTGGGATCTAGGGATTAAACTCACATCATCAGGCTTGCGAAACAGGCACTTTACCCATTGCGCCATCTCTGCTGCCCTGTGGCACACTCTGTGCCTGCCTGTCGTGTGCAGCTTACACACTCAGTGACAGGAACTTCCTTTTTTTCTGACTCTTGAGTGCAGAAATTATTTATGGGCCTATGACCACCAGTCCCAGCTTCTTCTTCCTACTCTTTCATAGTAAGGAAAATTTCAAACAAAAGTAGAAGTAAGTGTTCTCTCAGCATCCACAAGTCTCAACACTTGACCTTATCGCCTTTATCTTTGGAGTATTTTCTTACAGTATTTTGAAGCAAATACCAAATAGCATATTTTATTGTTCATAAATAAACCTAAGTATGTGCATTTAAAAACAACAAAAATAGAAACAAAAACCTGCCATATTGTGGTGATTTAAATGAGACTCTCCCCCATAGCTCTGACCCTTGAACACTTGGTCCCCAGTTGGTGGCACTGTTTGGAGATTTATTAAGAGGTGTGCCTTGAACATTTGGTTCCCAGTTGGTGGACTGTTTGGAGATTTATTAAGAGGTATGCCTTGAACTCTTGGTCCCCAGTTGGTGGGACTGTTTGGAGATTTATTAAGAGGTGTGCCTTGCTTAAGGAAGTATGCCACTGGGGAGGACTTTGAGGGTTTAAAGGTTTGAGCCACTCTGAGCTCACTCTTTCTGTTTGTGTTATAGCTCTCAGCTTACCGCTCCAGCTTCTGTGCCTCTGCTCCACCACAGTGTGGACTGTGGACTCACACACTGTGTGGACTCACACAGTGGAGTCACCCTCTGGAACCAAAAACCCACATAAGCTCTCCTCTTCAGTGTCTTGGTAATAGTGTTTTATCACGGCAATAGAAAGGTGACTAATACACACATTGGGATTAAAACTTTACAAAGAGTGCCAGCAAGATAACTCAGTGGGTAACCTTGTTACCCAGGTTCAGTTCCTGGATTCCACATGGTGGAGGAGACAACTCTCACCAGGTGTCCTCTGGGCTCAGTGTGTGTGCCATAGTATATGTACACATAGCCCCTCCCCCGTTCCCCCCCTGCACTGTCATGTAAGGCCGGGCAGTGGTGGCACACGCCTTTAATCTCGGGAGACAGGGGCAGATAGATCTCTGTAAGTTTGAGGTCAGCCTGGTCCACAGAGCATATTCCAGGACAGCCGGAGCTACACACAAAGAAACCTTATTTCAAAAAAAGGAAAATAATAAGACCAGGCATGGTGGCACACAGCTTTTTTCTTCTTCTTTAAATTCTAGTAATACATTCCCTACATCCTAGCTAATAAAGGCCCATGTGCATTTTCAGTGTTAAATAATGACATATATCAAGTTTGGAAGATTTATTCATTAGTGTAATAAATTCTAAAAAAACCAACATGATTTTCTGCATGCAGAGGAGTGTTTCCTGGATAAGTGGGAAATTGTGCAGATGGCTCCTGAAAGACCTTGATTATAAGCAGCTCTGTGGTGAACTCCATGGTTCTTTAGTTTCACTGAGTAGGATTTATACTGTTTATTAGGACCGAGTTTGTCCTGAGGTTCTGGGTAATTTTTCCTGCCCCAGCTGACATCTGGACTGTACAGTGCATACAGTGCTGCCCTACTTCCTCCTGCTTCAATGAATGTGAAGAGAGGAATCAAGCTGAGGTGCTTCTGGCTTGTCTGATGTACTGGTGGAGTGTGTCTGCCACGGAGGCCTGCCTCCACTGAGACAGGAGAACAAGACTAGGACACAGACCCTGAGCAGCTGCTGCAACCTGGCTGAGGGATGGCACACACCATTAATCCCAGTAGCCAGGAGGCAGAGGCAGAAGGATCTCTGAGTTCAAAGCCAGCCGTGACTACATAGCAAGTTCCAGGCCAGTCAAACTACATGAGACCTATCTCAAAAAAGGAGTGAATAAGTTTTAAAAAAAAAAAAATTCTTACAGGAAACAGTTCTAAAATTAAATCTACTTGTTTCTAACAATAAATTGAATAAAATTCCTTCAAATAATAATCCTTGGGGCTGGAGAAATGGCTCAGTGGCTCAGAGGACTGGGTGGGTGCTCTTGTACTTGATTCAGTTCCAACACCAACATGGCAGCTCACAGCTGTCAGTAACTTAGTTCCAGGGGATCCAACACCCTCAGTACTGACATACATACAGGCAAAACATCAATGTGCATGAAATAAATATAAAAATTTTTTAACAACTTTGTAAAAAAAATTTTTTTTATCTGTTTAGTTATTATCATATGGGATACATACACATGCGCACACACACATTAAAGTAATGGTTTAAGCTTTCTGCTTAGCTTTTCATTTTATTTGGATTATTAAGCAGGATTCTATATATCAGCAATGTAATTGTCTTGCTAGGTGATGTAAAACTACAGGAAAGGGACTGACCATGTACCTTAGGGTAGCACACTTGTCTGGCCTGGGCAAGGAGTTAGTCCACAATCATACTAGTAAACAGTATACTGAGGAGTTTCTGATTTCTGTTGTTGGTGTTATCTGGGAAGCAGGGTAGTTTCATTGTTCAATATGGACTGTAGAATCAGACCTGGGTTGGTTTCTTAAACTCATCATAACACTTACAGCAATGTACTCACTGTTATTGAGCATATTGTGTGCCTGCTGAGTCCTTTGTTTTTATTATCTCACTTAGTTTTCTCCGTAATCCTGCAAGGTAAGTCTAGGCTCTTCATTTTCCTGTTAGAGAAACTAAAACTAAGTAATTAGAGAGTCTCTTTCTATCCTTTCTATTATATAGTGATATTTCCTTTTCCTCTAGCTAGTCCCCCAGTCTTCTTTGAGTTGCCTTCTGTGGATACAGGTTCTCTGCTGGCAGATGTAACTGTGAATTAGAATTAAGGAAATGTTTGAGAAGGCCACTGCTTTGCCACTCCATCTGTCCTCAATATATTCTTCCACTGATGCAGCCTGAGAGTCACAGCCTGAGTTCAGTACATGGCTTGTGGTTACAACAGAGAGGAGAAGGAGTGCTTCATAGACTGCTGTGGTAGCTTAGATTCCCTCAGTTGCTGATAGCTTTACTTCCTAAAGTTTCAAGCCTGGACATTAAGTGCATTTCAGCCTTTAACTCATTCATCTCTCTTCCTCTCCGGTTCTCCTGTTTTTCAGAGTTTGAATTCTTATACGAATGGAGCATATGGTTCACCATACCCTCCTGGTCCTGGACCAAATACTGCCTCATACTCTGGGGCTTATTATGTTCCTGGCTATACTCAAAGCAGTTACTCTACAGAAGTTCCAAGCACTTACCGATCCCCTGGTAACAGCCCAACCCCAGTCTCTCGTTGGATATATTCCCAGCAGGACTGTCAGACAGAAGCACCTCCACTCAGGGGTCAGGTTCCAGGATATCCTGCTTCACAGGTAAACAGTTTTCTGACAGGAAAAAATACCTGCTTCTGAATTGTAAACAGTGGAAAATTATTTATCTACATGAGTACCAGTTTAAGAAAACAGCTAGAGCCAGGCATGGTGTGTATACCTTGAACTCCACTTCTCCGGAGGCAGAGTTCGAGACCATCCAAGGCCATGCGGCCTTGTCTCAAAAACAAAACAAAAAAGAAAACACCGAAAAAAAGAAAACACCGTAGATGTTCAGAAAATTTTCTATTTTTGACTAAAGATGCCTTAAAAATGTTATAATTCTTTTAAATTCTAAGTTATTTATTATGTGTGTGCATGGTGGGGGTTGGGGGATGAGACACGCACCACAGCCATGTGTGGAAGTCAGAGGACAGCTTGTGGGGTATTCTTTCTTTTTTCCTTCCTCCCTTCCTTCCTCCCTTCCTTCTTTTCTTCCTTTCTATTTGAGTCCAGGTCTCAGTATGTAGCCCTGGATGTCTGGAACTCCCTATATAGACCAAGCTGGCCTCAAACTCATAGCAGTCTGTGTGCGTCTACTTCCTGAGTACCAGGACTAAAGACATATGCCACCATACCTGGCTCCTCTTTTCTCCCACTCCATTTTCATTATTTTTAGTAACGTGTGTGTTTGTATATTTACATGTGAATGCAGGTACTCACAAAGGCCAGAGGTGTGAGAACCCTGGAACTGGACAGTTTTGGGAGTCATCTGACATGGTATCTAGGACTTGAACTCAGAGTCCTCTAGAAGAGCAGTATATGCTCTTAACCACTGATACATTTATGTAGTTCCTATATAACTTTTGTAATAAAATAAATCTTTAGTTATTGTTCTAAACTTTCCCTAACTTAATCTTTTCCAGTGCTGTTAGGTTTATATTATATGCTAATATGCCATGTTGGGCTGGATGGTGGTAGTGCACACCTTTAATCCCAGCACTCAGGAAACAGAAGCAGGTGAATCTTTGTGAGTTCAAGACCAGCCTGGTCTACAGAGCTAGTTCTAGGACATCCAGGACTACATAGATAAACCCTGTCTTAAAAACTTTTAAAAATTAAATAAATAAAAATAAAATACCACGTTTATTTCTGGTTTGTTTGTTTGTTTGTTTGTTTTGGATTTTCGAGACAGGGTTTCTCCGTAGCTTTTTTTTTTCCAAAATATTTATTTATTTATTATGTATACAATATTCTGTCTGTGTGTATGTCTGCAGGCCAGAAGAGGGCACCAGACCTCATTACAAATGGTTGTGAGCCACCATGTGGTTGCTGGGAATTGAACTCAGGACCTTTGGAAGAGCAGGCAATGCTCTTAACCACTGAACCATCTCTCCAGCCCCTCTCCGTAGCTTTTGGTTCCTGTCCTGGAACTAGCTCTTGTAGACCAGGCTGGCCTCGAACTCACAGAGATCCTCCTGCCTCTGCCTCCCGAGTGCTGGGATTAAAGGCGTGCGCCACCACCGCCCGGCCTATTTCTGTTGTTTTGAGAAGTCAGCTGTCTTTGTGTTTATAACGTATTACCGTATGGATTTGTTTGTCTGTAGTGTTTTTGGAAAATACATGCTTCATCCAGTGAATTTTAAATCCTATTCTCGAGTCTTTACCAGCTCTTTCCTTTGGGGCTTTAGAGTTAGGGTTCTCAGGAGTGAAGAATGTTTGGTAACTGATTTATGAGTTGCTATCAGCTCAAGATCTGTCGATGCTATTTTTATTACTTTAAGTTTTGCATTGGTTTTCTAAGCAGTGACCAACCAGCATACCAGCATATTTGTTTTTCCCACTCTAGAACCCTGCAATGACCTTGCCCCATTATCCCTATGGGGATGGTAACCGCACTGTGCCACCGTCAGGAGCAACTGTAAGACCACAAGATGACGCATGGGCTTCTGGTGCTTATGGGATGGGGGCCCGTTATCCCTGGCCTTCAGCTGCACCCTCTGCCCCACCTGGGAATCTGTACATGACGGAAAGTGCTTCACCCTGGCCTGGCAACAGTTCTCCTCAGCCACCTCCTTCACCACCACCCCAACAACCTAAGGTAGGGTTCCTTCCAAATGCTGGTCCTTTGCTGTCTGGGTATTAAGAGAATACAAGATGACACATCTGTATTTGCCCATGGTAAATGGAAACTAAGTCAAAAAAAAAGCTGATTACTACCCTACAGCATTATTTCAGCTTAATTTATGTTTTGGGTATTTTTTCTCATAAGCATTATTGCTTGGGGATTTTTTTTAAGGTTCTTTTTTATACTTTTCTATTTTTTTTATATGTCTAGATGTACTGGCTGCATATATGTCTATGCACTATGAGTGTGCCAGGAGCCCTTGGAGGCCAGATTCCTTGGAAATGAAGTTACAGTTATGAGCTACTGTGTGGCAACTGATAATCAAATTTGGGTCCTCTGGAAGAACAGCCAGTACTTAACTGTAGTGATAGTTTGTTTGTGGTTTAACAAATAAAGCTTGCCTGAAGATGAGAGTGTAGAGCTATCCAGTAGAGACCAAAGAATGGTGATACACACCTTTAATCCCAGGACTCAGGAGACAGAAGCAGATGGATCTCTGTTAGTTCAGTGCCTCCCTGGGCTGCCAAGATTGTATCTGTCTAAAAGAGAAACAGAGCTCACACAAAGGTGATCCCAACACTTGGGATCCCCTGCCTTTAATCCCAGCACTAAGGAGGTGGAGACAGGAGTGATATGGCTGGGCGGAGAGAGGAATATAAGGTGGGAGGAGACAGGAGCTCAGTGCAGTCTGAGGATCACCCTTGCAGTCACAGAAGACAGTCTTGAGGACAGGATCGCCTCTTAAGAACAATTAGTGTTCATGCTATACTTCACTGCTTGCCATCTCTCCAACACCATATCTTTTTTAAAAGACAAAAAATTGCTTATTTTGTACTGTGATACTATCTGAATATTAGATAGAATCAAAGGATGTATTTTTACAACCTTTCATGATATGTGGAGAGAAGATGAGAAGCAGTGTAAAGTACTACAGCACTCAGTGTTTACATAAGCCACAGGCAGAACACTGCTTTTGATTGTGTTCTGAGGCTTTTACTATTTGAGGAAGAATACTAACTATGAAGTCACTGGATGAATTGTGAGTTAGTAAGATTAATTGTGCAGTGTTCACAAAAGTGGCTTGCATCAAGGGAGATTCCAATCATCATATTTGGGAATTCTGTGCCTTTTACTTGAAAGGGTTTCCCCTTTTTATCTTAACAGTGTTTTTCTCCAGTGATTAAGGTGGGAGTCAGTTTTATTGGTGGAAATCTTTTCAAGTACATTCTTGTTTGGGGAAGATGTGTACTAACATTTAATACTGATGGCCTCCCATTGAAACAGCTTTTGTTTCTCCTTTCTGTCTTCCCATTCCAAGGATTCCTCCTACTCCTATAACCAGTCGGGTCCAGGCATGAACCGGCACAGCTTTCCTTGCAGTGTCCATCAGTATGAATCTTCGGGAGTCATGAACAGTGATAATTCAGACCTTTTGGATTCTCAAGTCCAGTATAGTGCTGAACCTCAGTTGTATGGTAATGCCGCCAGTGACCATCCCAGCAATCCTGTTCAGAGTAATAATCTCCCTGAAGAGTGTTTCTCTTCAGATGAAGGCACGCCTCCAAGTATTAAAAAAATCATACATGTGCTGGAGAAGGTCCAGTATCTTGAGCAAGAAGTAGAAGAGTTTGTGGGGAAAAAAACAGACAAAGCTTACTGGCTTCTGGAAGAAATGCTGACAAAGGAGCTTTTAGAACTGGATTCTGTCGAGACTGGGGGCCAGGACTCTGTCCGTCAGGCCAGAAAAGAGGCTGTCTGTAAGATCCAGGCCATACTGGAGAAATTAGAGAAAAAGGGATTATGAAATAATTTGGAATGAAGGGTTAACCTGTTACTAATTTGGCCAAAGAACTCTTGAATTTGGTTAGTTACCATCTTTTAAATGCCTGTTGTGACAAGAAACAACACAGTCCAGCTTCTGACTTCAAACTGAAGGAAAAGAAATTGAAAAGCTGACAGAAGAATGGAAGAACACATTATGGGATTCTTTTTGGTTTTCAGATGACTGAACATAATACGAAACTGGAATTGTCAATGTTGCCAAGTAGACCTGCTCCTTAAGAAATCCATGGGCATCTCTAGGCTGCTTCTTATCAACAGGAGGGAAATAGACTTTATGTAACAGGTTATCAGTGCATAGTCTGAGACAAGCAGGCTGTTTTGTAAGCATCCAGACTGTCACATTTTTGTGCATTGTGACTGCATATACTTCATGTGTAAATTATAGCTTAGACTCTTGGACCTCTGTTATCTGCAGTTCGCAAATGTAATATTATTCTACTTGGTACATTTTGTAGTAATATGTTTAATAATCAAATACTGGCAGCCAGATAAATGGGCAGCTCTGATCGAATTCATATCCTTTCAGCCTTGAATATATTGCAGTGTGTAGTGGGCTCCTGAAGTCAATCACATATCTCCTTGTGTAGCATGTTATGTTAGTGTTCTTCCACTTCTGCTTTTCACAGTAGTCAGGAAGGTGATTTTGGAAATTACATTAACATAGAATCACTATGTTTGTGAATATTTTACTTCTTTGCTTTTTTGTTGTATTTGGATAAAGATCCAGTTTTGAAATTGTTTTTTTAAGAAAAATATCTTTGGCTATTGCTGCTTCAATAGAGAGCCTTATGATAGAAACATGAAACCTAAATGCTACAATTAGTATAAATAGCGACTGCAAAAAGCAACACATATGATTATTTAATAATACTGTTCTCCATTTAATAGTTTCTGTTAAACAGATTTGAGCTCAGTTTATAGCTGATAGAAGGAAAAGGAGATTCATGCTCAGGGAATGAGTTAGCCATAGCTAAAGTAGAAAACTCACTGTTTTCTTTAAATCTGGTCTTTATTTCATAGAATAAATTACATAGAATTACCTGTTTCATAAGAAAGATGTTATTATTAATAACAGTCCATTTGGAACCAAGTTTAAGAAAGGGGGCCTTTCTTGTTTTTCCATATATGTTGTTACACAGAGACAGGTAAATAATTTACCTTTTAAATCTAAAGTGAGTCTAGCATTCAGTATCTGCTTTTGCAACAAAAGCAGTTTCTTGGTAAAATATCAAAGTGATACTTGTTTTCTAGACTAGCAAGCCTTTATGTTAGTGATGCCTTCCCTTCTACTCACAGGGAACCAAATCAATGCCAGTGTGTCATGAGTAGAAATGTAGTTGGAAATGTTGTGTGGAGGCCGGGGACGTGGTTAAATTCGTAGAGTGTTTGCCTAACGTACATGAAGTTCAGCGTTAAATTCCCAGTATTGCATAAACCAGGCATAGTGGCACATACCTGTCTCAGCACTGGGAGGTGGAGGCAGGAAGATTACTAGCTTAAGATTATCCTCAGCTACATCATCAATTCAAGGCCACCCTGAGCCACACGAGATCATGTCTCAAAACTAAAAGGACAAGTGATTCAAGATTTAATGATTTTATCCAAGAGTCTGTTTTTAAAACATTTTATTAGTGTATAAATTTTATTTGGTGGTATACATTTTTAATCAAGACAGAGGCAGGTAGATCTCTTGAGTTCAAGGTCAACCTGGTCTACAGAGAGTTCCTGACCAGTCAGGGCTCCATAGTGAGAGACATGTGCTACCTACCTATCTACCTATCTACCTATCCTACCTATCTACCTATCCTACTTATCTATCTATCCTACCTACCTATACCTATCCTACCTACCTACCTACCCACCTATCCTACCTATCTATCCTATCTACCTATCCTACTTACCTATCTATCCTACCTATACCTATCCTACCTACCTATCTATCCTACCAACCTATACCTATCCTACCAACCTATCTATCCTACCTACCTATACCTATCCTACCTACCTACCTACCTACCTATCCTACCTATCTATCCTATCTACCTATCCTACTTACCTATCTATCCTACCTACCTATACCTATGCTACCTACCTACCTATCCTACCTATCCTACCTACCTATCTATCCTACCAACCTATCTATCCTACCTACCTATACCTATCCTACCTACCTACCTATCCTACCTATCTATCCTATCTACCTATCCTACTTACCTATCTATCCTACCTACCTATACCTATGCTACCTACCTACCTATCCTACCTATCCTACCTACCTATACCTATCCTACCTACCTATCTATCCTACCAACCTATCTATCCTACCTACCTATACCTATCCTACCTACCTATCTATCCTACTTACCTGTCTATCCTACCTACCTATCTACCTATCCTACCTACCTATCTATCCATCCTACCTATCCTACCTACCTATACCTATCCTACCTACCTATCTACCTATCCTACCTATCTATCCTACCTACCTATACCTATCCTACCTATCTATCCTATCTACCTATCCTACCTACCTATACCTATCCTACCTATCTATCCTATCTACCTATCCTACCTACCTATCTATCCTACCTACCTATACCTATGCTACCTATCTATTTATCTACCTATCTATCTCTCTACCTATCTATCCTACCTACCTATCTATCCTACCTATCTACCTATCCTATCTATCTATCCTACCTACTTATCTACCTATCCTACCTACCTACTTATCTTACCTATCTATCCTACCTACCTATCCTGTCTACCTAACTATCCTACATACCCACCTAACTATCTATGGGATGTGTGTGCTCACATGTGTGTTTTATATCTACAAGTTTTGTTTTTGAACAATGTCATGCCGGTTGACCTTAAACTTTGTATGTAGCCTAGGACAACCTAGAAGTCCTGATGCTCCTGCCTCACCTTCCATTGCAGGTGTGTGCCTGGTTTCTGTGGTGCTGAGGATCAAAGTCAGGGCTATATGTATGCTAGGCAAGCACTGTACTGATCTTGAGCTATAGCCCTGATTCTCTTCCTTTTGGCCTAATATAGAAATGTTTTTAAAGGATTTCTAAGCTGGACATGGTGGTAACGTGCCTGTAACCCTCACATTCTGAGGCAAGTCTGTGGATCTCTGATTCTGAGACCATCTTGGTCTACACAGTGAGTGCCAGGCTAGCCAGTAGTGAGGCCTAGCCACCCCTCAAACGTTTTCTATAAAAATATGACAATTACATTTAAAAGTTTAAGAGGAGAAACCTTAAAGCTGTGTTGCCAACAAGACAGTGACTGATTCAGAACACATTACACTGCCCAACATGCCAATTTCTGCACATCCTTCACTTTTACATATTGTACACGTTATACACAAATGTACATATATGTGTATATATCTTAAGTTATTTTTTGAACTAGTAACATGATTTTAAACTTACAGAAGAGTTGTAAACATAGCAGTGCTCCCGTGTGCCCTCCATCTGCCTTTCCCTTGTTTTGACATCTTACCTAACAAAAGCATTTGTCGAAATTAAGAGTTCATCTTTTATAGTGCTATTAATATTAGCTACAATGGCAAGCTAAAAGTAGATATTTTATTAATCTTTTTATTAGCATCCTTTTAACCATTCTGGATCCCATCTCGCATCTAGTTGTCTGAGTTGTCTCCACTCCGTGGCGCTGTACCATAGGATAGCTGGTGTCATCGTGTGTTTCCAGTGTGCTCCCCTTTGAGCACTCTGCTGAGGTGGTGTCTCTAGGATGCTCCACTGTAAGCTTACCCTGCTTCCCTTTGTGATTACTGAGTATTTGCTAGAGATACTTTGAGACTATGCAAATGTCCTGTTTTGCTTAGAGTTTGCCTCTCCTACTATCTCCTGGCAGATCTTGCTTGTGGCATTTACTACTGTGGCGTTCAAATGGTGATTTTTCTATTTGTTTCATTTCTTCTATATTTAATAATTGGAATTCTTCTGGAAGGAAGAACTGTGGATTCTGGATTTATATTTTTAATTATATCAAGATATTCAGGATAGGTACAAACTCAAAACTTAAAGATATAAATCGTGTTAATTGATTCCAAATGGCCAGTATCAAAGAAAAAAGCAATGTTGGTGACTTGTCTTTGGAAATATAATGAATTTAAGATGAAAATAGTATTTATGATTTGTAAAATTTATCTGACTTTTGACTTAAAATTGATTTGAAACTGAAACAATTTTCTTTTGAAATTTTACATCTAGACTTTTTTAAGGTGTCTAAATTTATATTACTTTGGGGGTCATTTTTGTCAAATCTTGAATAAAGTTACCTACACCTGGCATGATAAACACTGTTTTCTAACCCTTTGTTCAGGTAAAATCCCAATATAAACACTTAACCAGTCAGCTCTAAGGAAGTCTCTGAGCATCATTCTGTTTGTGCATGCTTGTTTAAAGTGCTTCTAAAAATAAGGTTTGTAGAAACAAAAACAACCAACAGTAAAGGAAAGGGGTTTGAAAACAATGCTTTAGTTAGTTGACATAAATAACCTTTAAGTTAATTGGATTTTTTTTTTAGGTTGAAGGGTATAGATTAAGTTGTCTATTAAAAAACCTTGTGAGGGTAGATAGTTGATAGAGCTTTCTTTGCTTTTTCTTTGTTTTTGTTTTGTTCCAGGACAGTCCTGGCTGTCCTGGAACTCTGTAGACCAGCCTGGCCTTGAACTCATTAAGGTCTGCCTCATGAGTTTAGGGCCACTGAAATGGCTCCGCAGGGAAAGTCACTTGCCACCAAACCTGAGGACCTGAGCTGAATGCCCAGGGTCCACACGGGGGAGAAACTAGTTTCCTTCTGAATTTATGTGTACATCATAGCATGCCCCTCCCACATTCAAAAGGAGTATTTTTAAAATCAAGTTATTTTATGTGTCTGAGAGTTTTGCCTGCATGTATATATGTTCCATGTTGTGTGCCTGTTGCCCTTGGAAGTCAAAAGGCATCAGATCCTGTGGAACTAGAGTTGCAGTTATTAGCCATCATGTGAGGGCTGGGAATTGAACCCAGGTCCTCTATAAGAGCAGTAAGTGCAGGGGCTGGAGTACTGGCTGCTCTTGCAGAAGACCCAGGTTCTGTTCTCAGCACCCACATGACAACCTACAACTGCCTGTAACTCCAGTTCCCTGGAATCAGACACCTTCACACCAGTACATAAGACGAAGTTAAAATAAATAAATAAGAGCAGTAACTGCTTAGCCAACTCTACTGCCCACAGCAACCACTTTCCAATATAAATACACTTGAAATGCATCGCTGATTTTGTTGCTGTTTTGTTTCCAAATTACACAGGGTCTCTGTGTAGCCCTGACTGTCCTGGAACTCGCTCTGTAGACCAGGCTGGCCCCTAACTCTCAGAGATCAGCCTGCCTCTGCCTCCTGAGTACTGGGTTTAAAGATGTGCACCACCATCCCATGTCAAATCGCTGATTTTTTTGGGGGGGGGGCACGTTGAGACAGGGTAACAGCCATGACTGTTCTGGAATGCCCTTTGTAAACCAGGCTGACCTCGAACTCACAGAAATCCCACCTGTCTCTGCCTCCCAAATTCTGGGATTAAAGGCGTGTGCCACCACCACCTGGCAAGACCCAGTTTTTATTTCCAGAAGCTTGTAAAATTTTTAAAAATTCTTTTTGTAATGAGATGTAGCAGTGTAACTTTGGTGTGGGTCTATCTTTACTTATGGGGGGATATTCATTTTAGAAATCTACACCTTGGCCGGGCGGTGGTGAAAAAAAAACCAAAAAAAAAAAAAAATCTACACCTTTATATCATGTGATACTATCTTGATTTTTTTTAAAGATTTTTTTTTTTTTTTTTGGTTTTTCGAGGGTTTCTCTGTGGTTTTGGAGCCTGTCCTGGAACTAGCTCTTGTAGACCAGGCTGGTCTCGAACTCACAGAGATCCGCCTGCCTCTGCCTCCTGAGTGCTGGGATTAAAGGTGTGCGCCACCACCGCCCAGCCTTTTTTAAATATTTGATTTATTTACTATGTATACAATCTTCTGCCTGTGCAGGCAAGAAGAGGGTACCAGATCTCATTATAGCTGGTTGTGAGCCACCATGTGGTTGTTGGGAATTGAACTCAGGACCTCTTGAAGAACAGTTAATTCTCTCCGCAGCCAGTGCTCTTAACTGCTGAGCTATCTCTTCAGCCCCAGTGTCTTTTTATTTGACTTGTAAAGTTGTCTACTACCCTACTCACCCCTTCTTTTTTTTTTTTTTTTTGGTTTTTCGAGACTCACCCCTTCTTTTATGGAACAAGGTAGGTAGCCCTGATGTCCTGGAGCTCTCTGTATAGACCAGGCTGCCCACCATCTCACAGAGATCTTCCTGCCTCTGCCTTCTGAGTGCTGGGATTAGAAGCGTGAGCTACTATGCCCAGCTTGCACAACTTTTAATTTCTAATTTTTTCCCTTGAGAGATTCTTTGTGTAGTTATAACATGTCACATATCTGCAGCTTTTAGTAATTTCTTCCTGAATTACTGGCTTCCTCCAAAGTTGCCTTTTAAAGTTTTCATTTTTATCATTAGAGGTACTTTTTAAAAAAATATTTATTTATTATTTATACAATATTCTGTCTGTGTGTATGTCTGTAGGCCAGAAGAGGGCACCAGACCTCATTACAGATGGTTGTGAGCCACCATGTGGTTGCTGGGAATTGAACTCAGTACCTTTGAAAGAGCAGGCAATGCTCTTAACCACTGAGCCATCTCTCCGGCCCTAGAGGTACTTTTGTTGTCTTGTTTTTCTTCATA